TTCATAGGCCAAATGCTTCCTTACAGCTATTCAATTGAAACTGCTCTATTAGAAAATAAACAGGCCTTGTGCTGTGGAGCTTGACCAGCCCTAGTTTCAGTTTTGCACCTAGTAATACTTTTCTCTTCAAAACTGCTTAGTAGAGGTTTCTTCATGCATTTCCATCACCCACACAACCACAAAACCACCATGAAGTTCTGCAAAATAGTACCTTCTGTTCACCAGAGCCCCCTGATTCAGATAGCAAAATTACTATATCATATAGCCACCCCCTATTTAAAAAGTAAATTGAAAATAATTCTTTCATTTCACAGCTGGCAAACCCAAGAGCCCACAGAGAACTGGTTTCTATAAATATTCATATCTATAAATGCCAACTAAAACTTGGCCTAAAAGAGCATCATGAATTAAGAAACAACTCAGCAAAAAGACATCCTTTCTCTCTAGTTCACCAGGCAGGTCTGCTGCCCTTGGACCAGGAGCTCCACTTTGAACCTCAGCTCTGGAGCACACTGTCTGCTCTTCGAATATAAGCATAGTTTTCAACTACTAGAGCACCTCTGTAGGATCCTGAAGCGCACTGGTCAGTTCTGCCCTCTGTTTCAAGCTGGAGGAGTTGTGCTGAGACATTTTGTTCAGTTACCTTAATAAAGCAAGATGAATCACACCTCCTTTAACTCCAGACACCCAGTCAGACATCTGAGATAGTCACCTGATGCTCTGCTTATAGTCAGTAGAAGGAACACAACACCTCCAGAGGGTCCTTTGCCTGATCTGTTTTCAAATGAGGTGAATCCCCCTCCAAGAAGAGTATAGTAACTAACTTAGAGTTGCATGTGTTTTTCACACCTAAGGGTGCAAACTTCAAGGAATCTTACACACATTTCTAGACATTTCACTGCAGCTATTGACAAACCTTAACATATCACTGCTGAGAAATATTTTCAGTATTACGGGAAATACTTCCTGTCAAAAAAGCACCTATTGAAGGAGTTTTGGGATTGATGAGTTCAAAGCTCTTTAATTTTATGGTTTCCCTTCAGAAACTGTATCATATAGAACTGATGTATAAGAAAGCTATACATTCCAGTAACCTACTTCTTTTAAGATTATTTTCTATTAAAAGAGCACTATTTGTTTCTATGTTTATCTAAGGGATGCATTGATGTCTGCTATTAACTCTTTTAGCATTGTTCTACAATGGTTATTCTTTTTCTTGTATTTTTTTTCTGTCAATATATAATAATGATTATGCTAAATTTAAAAATGGGTTGTCAAGTTGGTCAAGAGACTATATCCTAAGTTTACACTAGTAAACAGCATAAAATCTTACCAGTAGGAGCAGAGTGGTGGAGTGAAATACTTAGCATTAAGGGCACAACAGTCACACTACCTTTTTTGTGGTTTTTACTTACAATTATCTCCAAAATGACCCTGTAGACTGAATTTGCATTAGCAGGAGTACATTAAATGAGCTCCTCCTTCTGCTCAGTTTTATCCCAAACAGAATCAGTTTATGTGCTCCAAGATGCAAACTGAACTGCAGAAATGCAGGTGATCAGGACATTAATTTTAAAAGTGCATTCCTACTCTAAATAATGCACTCATGTATTTGCATCCATAGTTTTTACGGAAAAGAAAAGAAATCTGGAACACTGATGTGAGTTCCCTGGTATTGCCACAGGACTGTGTCTTTTCAATTTTTTCAATCACAATTTCTGAAATTTTACTCCCCTTTCAGTTTTGAAAAAAACAGGCCATTCCACACCACTCATTTTACTTGAACATTTAGAAGACAGTGAAAATTAATGGCAGAAGTCAATAGAGGATACATAATCCCCTCCTGGGAAGCAGTCTTACCCACATATACACCTGTAAATGGATTTCTGGCCCTGTTTAAAACTCTGGCCCTGGTAAACCTTTTGCCACCTACAAGGAGCGAAGATTTAATCCCTGAAGTTTCCAGATGTACAAGTTAAGTTGTAAGGCTTCTAATTTCCTAGGACTCAAATTCTTGTGGTTATAATTACAGCTATAGTCTTGAAGACAACACATGGTCATAACCGACACATGCAAAGACAGGCATTCCTTCCTTGAGGTTAACCACTTATGAAGTTATTACCTCCATTAGCAGAATTCACAATCCTCTAAGAAAACATCCGTCATGACAGACTCCAAAGAAATGACTAAGACATCTGAGGACAAAATAATCTGGTTTTGCAGTTGAGTACTTCATCCTTTTTTTTTTTTTTTTAATGCAACTAAGGGTTCAGACAACTTGGCCAAGAATTGCCTTTTGAAGGTTGTCCTTTCCTAGTTAACCAGCAGAGTTAATTTAAATGATTGTCTTAAATAAACACAACTTTTAGATGGCAAAGTTTATGTTAGAAGACTGCCACCACCACATGAATCCTTATAATTCTATAGCTTAGTTCCTAATGAATTTTTTTGTTTTCCAGCTTCCAAAGAGAAAGCTGATGGTGTCGCAAAGACGGCCTTTAACTTGAAGAAGACTCCAACAATTCAAAATTGATTCTGTTAGCTTACTGCATAAAGCCTCCATGCAGTACCTGGGTTAAAACCTGCACGAAGAAAGGGCACTACCAGGAGCCAAATGTCAGAGCAGGAGAATCCACAAGCCATGACCTTATAGCTGATGCCAGCTTGGAAACTGTCTCACTGACTGGAAAAGTCACTGCTTTAGGGGCAACAGAAGCCTTGCAGAACAAAACATCTTGAGAGGTTTGTAACACACTTAGATACCACTTCTCATCTTCACTTGCTGATGCCAGACTTGAGATAGCTGAAAATTACGGACTCCATAAACATGATGTATTTAGCCCACTCACAATATGGTTTTCACCCACACACAGTCTGGGTTTCTCAACCAGAGAACAGCACCAGCTGCTAGTTCTTAACAAGACAGCTGGCAAGGCAGCACAAACAAGGACTCGACATGGAGAATTGGCCACTAGTGAGACGTAGCTGTTACCTTTTTACCTTGCATCCCTTGGACTGTAACCTAAATCAACCACACAAAGTATTAATATTCCACCGATGTAGTGAGGGATACAAGGAACTCAAGTTAAGGAAAGCTCTGCAGTTAAAAACCATTGTATGTTGTTCTGTTCTTGATGATAACAAAGGACACAAATTATAAGAGCATACAACTAGTCAGAACTGAGATACACTGCATTACGTGAGAGAAAAAAAAAATCTGACCCTTTTTTCATACTGGAAGGTTTAATGGTCATGCTCCTGATGGCAAAAATATTTTAAAAATATTTTAAAAGCCAAAACTATAAAAGAGCAGAGATCACTAAAGTTGCCAGCTGTATTCCTACATATAAGGAAACCTGTATCCTAGATCTGCTAGGGAGTTACTGCTATTCACTTTGTACTTTAAAGCACCATAGGAATATAATGAAAAGCCATTGATAATATAAAGAAAAGGTAGAAGATTTATCTGAAAAAAAGCATGACATAACAAAGTAATTCACAGCAAACACTGCTTTAAATTATAATCAATCAAATCTGAAAATTCTTGGAGAAGAGACAACTTAGCCATTAGGAAACTAAGTATTTAGGGAAGTCCAATGTGTTGCATAATCCTGCATAATACATCTCATAGAGATGTGGGAAACTGCTCTTTAAGCTTTTTGGCGGTAACAAAAACTTTATTCAAATAAACCTGTTCATCTGGACAATATTAAGGCAAAGTCCAGATCTCACTTGTCTGTGTAATGCACGGTATGTTTCCATCACCTTGGCAGAGAAAAGAAAAAACAAAATCGGAGTCACATGCCAGAATTAGCAAACACGATCATTTTCCAAGGAACATGTAGTTTGAAATTTACTTGCCCAGACAAGTAGACAAGAATGATTCGTATCTGATTCACAAGAAATGCCAACGTGTGCCAACTTTTTGCCTCGACAATACTAAAACTGCCCTCAAACCAGTACTGCAGTATTATCCTAAGGATATTTCCCAGCAAAAGGCATAACTAAAGTAAGAGAAGACATGAGCTGCAAAGCATCACTCGATCTAGTCAAGCAGCCAAACATTTTTTAAAGTTTTGTGTCTCTGGAAACCCGAAGTCTCAAAAAGATTAAGCCATGGGAAAAAAAAGATCAGAAAAGTTGAGGCTGATTACAACCAGATAATCTACAAAACAATTAGCAAGAATCTATAGAGAAAAGTGGAGATGCAGTGCAGAAAGAATACTTAACACATGAACTAAACAAATGGGCAGGGAAAAGGCTGTCTGATTGTGTATCAACACAAAAATCCACTTTGCATGGAAACGCGTAATTTGAGCATTTTAAACCTACAATTTACATAGCGTATTCAAATACAACAGAAAGATGAGCGAGCGATTTTTGTTTGCCTTGCAATATCTGAACCGCAGAAAAGCGTTTCAAAAGCGGCACAATTCAGCGGACCCAAGCGAGAAAAAAGTCCAAACCATGAGTAATTACACAGAGCAGCTGAGGGGTAGGTGGACACGAGCCGCTTCCCCGTGCCGCTGCTAAGGAGCGTTAACCCTTCCGCAGCCCAAGAGCACCGACCCGCTCGTACGGCACAGCCGCACATCCCGAGGGGTGCCGGGCTGCCCGGCACCAACACCTCCGCGGGGAACGGCCCTCGGGGGGGCTGCGAGCACCGGGGGAACCGGCTCCACACTCGCTATAGATGGTGGCGGCTGGGAGCGCTGCCACGACCCCGGCCGGGGAAAGGGCTCCAGCGCGGAGGGGAAGCTCGGCTCCGTCAGGGCGCGCAGCCGAGGGCGGCCTCGCTCCGCAAGCACCGAGGGGCAGGCGGCGGCCCCAGCCCCGCCAGCAATGCCACCTGCCTTCACTTTAGGGTTGCTGGGCTCCCGTTTCTGACGTCCTCCGCCAGCCCCGAGCCGCGGCCCCCGTTCCGCGGCGCTCAGAAGGCAGAGCACGGGGCGCGCCCCCTCCTCCCCGCGGGCCGCAGTAGCCCGGCCCCACACACCTACCGGCGGGCGCGCTGCTCCATCGGGCGCTCTCCCGGCGCGGCCGGCGGCGGCTCCAGCCCGGCCCGCCCGCGCCGCTGCCATTGGGCGCTGGCGGCGGCGCCGCATTGGCCGGGCCCGCCCCGCCCCGAGGCGGTGCCGGGCCCCGCTGCCCGCCGCGCACGGCCGGGCCCCCGCACAGGTGGCGGAGAGGGCGGCTCGTCCCGCGCTCCCGACACCGATCCCTCCCACGTTTCTCAGCCCCCGCGTCAAAATGCGAGTCAAAGCCGACGGACTTTGCCGTCTCCGCTCACCCACGGGCAAAAATAAATAGTAATGTGCAGATAACAATCGATAACGCAAACAAAATCTCCTTCTGCTCGGGATTATTCAACGGGCATGCTTAAATACAACGCTATTGATTTGTAACTGGTGAGTTCGTTTGCACACTTCTAATACAAATTAACAGGCACCTACCTCACTTCTTTGTTGGACGCTGATGAATTTCGCGGATTGTGGATAAGAAAGTTAATACAACGCCTATGAACCAAATTATGTTTAAGCTGCTAAACTGTAAGAGTATTACAATCCCAATAATATAAATAGTATGGTAATACTAATCTTATTTCTGCCTTTAAATAGTTCAGAGAGCAATTTGCATATGGAAATGTCTTTATGGAGGAATTAACTTCTAACCTCAGTACAATTGCGAGACTCCAGCTGGAAGGACACTTATGCAAAATGAACATGTGCATCATTAGCCCAAACGTAAGCACAGATGTGCACATTTACATCCATTAGCAGATTCAGAGAATGACTCTGGAGAGCTGAGAGAATAGCAAGTCACCAAAGAGCTTCCTAGAAAACTGAACCTTGCAAGCTGAGAAATTATAATGATCTTAACATTCGTACTAAGACTACAATAACAGCCTTAATTAGTAATGAGGACTGACTGTAAAAAGAAGAAGAAAAAAAGTTGCAGTTTTATTCTTCTCTGGGTGAACTAAGAGTTTTAAAAAGCGCAAAAACACGGAAAAATCTCAAATGCAAAGTGCAAGATAACCATGTAATTACAAGAGATTTTACGCTCGGCTGCTTTGCATGCCTGGTTCACCTGGTTGTTTCGAAGGGGGTCCTGGTGCAGAGCAGTGTGAGGACATACATTATGGAGAACACTGGAACCGAAGCCCAAAGCCCCCGTGGCACAAGCGGGGGACATGGCGTGTCCCAAAGCACCGACACGAGTGCCAGCTAGAGGTGGCTGGGGGAAAATAGCACACAACTCGCACATTCCCAAACGGGACTGGCAGATCCTGCGTTACCCGGCAGGAGAAGATGTTGATTACCCAGACAAAGCCAATCACCTGGAAGATGTTGAATAATCTGCCCATGGGCCCAAATGGGTTTAGGCTGGGTGTCAGACTCATTTACATGGCGAACAGGGTAAATTCAGCAAGGACATGGATAGTTCTTCTCAGGTACAACTAGTGTCTTTGTTTCTTCTCAGGATTGTTTTATGAGCCAAAAAGAACTACACAAATTAGTTTTCCAGTTGTTTCCCTTTATCTTCCCCATCTTTAATAAATCCAGGATTCAGAATAACATTATTGACCTCTGATATACTGTACTGTGAAAGATCCTGGCTAGAAAGAGACCTGAAAGCTACCAGTCCTTCCCTGGTGTTGGTCAAGTCCTCAACCCCGTTTCTTCTTCTGCTTTTTCCTCTTCTATGCCTTCTAAATAAAAGTAAAAGCTATTACAGAGTAACTTTTCACAACGGTGTTGGAACTTATTAGTCACGAAGGCAGCTACAAATGCTGTCACAAACAGTCCAACAGTGGCAGTGGTTGCTGTATCTTGCATTGCTGAAGCACAAAACATGAAAGGTCATCAATCAGGTTGTAATTAAGACTTAGAACCAGAAATATATTTTCCATCTTTTCTTTGTTTTCACTCCACAGCATATTTCCTCATAGTTGTTAGATGGTTTAAGGGCTGAGGAAAGGGATGTTTCCTCATTTAAGGAATCATTAAAGGAAAAAGGCTTGCATATAATATAATATGCACTTTTTAGCACCTTTTCCTCTTTTATGCAGATTACCAGGCTTAAATTTGCTCTAGCACCAATTACTTTTTCTGATATAAGGTAAATTGAAATTCCTGTATTAAGCATCCTTTTAAAAAGGAGGAGGGGGAGAGAGGTGGGGGAAAGCAAAAATCAAGATTTGATTCTCTTACACTATTTATTCCATCCAAGTTATGACATCATTTCCACAACATCACACAACTCTGTTTAGTACTATTATTCTGTTTGGACTTCCAAGAAATTTTTGCTTTATATTTCTGAAGTTCTTATACTAGTAATATAGGGTCTGGAATGGAAGGAATAGCAGGTAACATACATGATACAGGTTTTTATATTTTCTAGAGTCTTCTCACAATCAAAACCACAGAAAACACTTTTGGTCAGGCAGTTTAACTTAATGGTCATTATAGATCCTTTCCACTGAAATATATTACAATAGAGAGTCAAACCCAAAATTATTCTATTTAAGTAAGTATATTCAATTTATGGTTGCTCTTCTTACAACAGAAAGAGAGGTTAGAATATACTTCAGCACTTATCCCCACCAAAGAAAAGACATAGGGGAAAAAATAAAATATATATAACATGAATAAATAAATTTAAAAAATAAAAAAATTCTAACACACTCCAGAGTCTGATTTGCTTACTTCAAATAGTTTGAAAATCTTTGAAGAGCAAAGATTATATTCTTCCATTTTCTAGAATATGACAATATTAATCACATTAACCATAAAAATTACAGCATTCTATTCTTGATATTCTGACTGATGTTGAAGATGTATTTATGACACGACTCTACGGGGTTAGAGCATGTGAAATCATATAAACACATGTACTGAGTAACTAAAGGCTAGAATGATCCCAATTCTAATTTATTTTGAATACACACATCATCTGACTTTTTTTTCTTTCAACTTGACAGCTAACTAGGTTTTTAATATAAATATTTCATTATAAAGATATTAATAATTCATTATATCCTGGAAAATTATGCTATTTTATTCCAGTACAAAACCAGGATTTGCATGCAAGCTTTACTGCAAATTTAATTAAATTTGTCAGTTAACAGAATTCAATATATTTCATCATATTAAATGAGGCAGTATGACTTAACCTTAGTGGTGTGCCAAGAGAGGGTCAACTCAGAAGTGTATGGAAGCACTTTGAGATTTTCTTTACCTATCTGGACCTGCTTCCACAGTCTGTACTTCACGTATTTCTTCATACTGTATTCCAAAGCAGTCTCACAGGAGTGCTCCTTCTCAGCCAGTGAACTGATATTAACCACAGAGCAGCAAGAGAAAATAAATGTGTAGTGCCAAAATATTGTTTGCTTAGCTCCCTTACCTTGGACCATGTGCACAACCCGAGTGGTCTTTGCTCCAGCTGCCACAGCCCAGCATGGAAGATCACAGATTTCAGGGGCGATTTGTTTAACTACACATCTCAGTAATGGCAAGCTTAGTTTAAAGTGAATATTGCTGGGACAAATGCACCATTTCCAGTACAGAAATTCCATCACCTTCACTTCCCCTTCACTCACAGACGGTATTTTCCCCACAGAAGGACGTTTCTCAATGACCAGACACCCTTGTTTTGCCCCCTAACAGCAAACCAAATTACCAGTATCTGCAGAGCAATCTGCCTGCAATCTGGGCAACTGAAGAGCTTGTAGAAAAGCGGTGTCAGGAGTGTAATGGCTAGTGGAGAAATTTGGAAGCATCAAATGCTTAATATAAGCATAGAGAGAGCTAAAGGCTTATCAAACATATTCATTTTAGGTAATTTCAAAGCTTCCTTTTCTGTAACTGCAAGAGAGTCTTTTGATTTGGCATTTAGAAGTCCCAAGGAGACAGCAGAAATTAATATTTTATTTGCTGTGCTTAAATAAGGAACAGTTCTTTAAAATTACAGAGAATATAGTTTATTCTAGCACCTTTCACAGTGCCAAATGGGATGAGACACTAGATCTGAAATCTTAAAGAGGATTTATTTTTAGCTTATTTTTCTATTAATTTTCAGGATTTACCATAGAGTTTTTTCAGTTTTCAGCCAAAGGATTATTTGCAAACTGTTTACTCTAAACATGAGAGCTGTGTTTTATGATGCAGAACTAGTATCACTAGAAACATTTAGAAGTATTTTGTATCATTCTATCTTTTGGAACTGAACTAAGAACAACAAATGTAGTGAAGAGTAAACTCTTTGTGACTTGTAAACGCAAACATAAAAATTAGGCTAATTTTTTGCAATTACATGTGCAAAAAACCTCAAGTATTTTTTGTGACTCTATGGAGCTATTCACTGAATACGCGAGATAGAGTAGGCAAATAGTTAATATACAATGTTCAGTTTGTTAGTTGAGAGATTACATCAACGAAAAAAATCCCTTTCTTGCTCCGTTTTGAGAAGTTCCTACCTACTTGCACCCTTTGCCTTCCAAAAAAATCGGACTCCTGGTAGGGAACTCAGGCTGTTAGTTCAGCAAAGAGGCAGGAAAAGCCAACACAGCTGCATGCAGTGAGATCACCACATTTATCTCACTGGGTCTGAATTCTCTTACTAGAGTCACCTCCCTTCTGTGCAATGTTTCCCAGATTTCAACAACCAAGTCAAACACAGAATTTGTAAAAAATATGAAATCCTGTAGTTACCCAATTACAGCTGAACATTAACGTTAACACTGGATTCCACAAGAAAATGTATATAGATTTTGGTGTGGCTATTCTTCCTAATGGACTGTTCAGTCCTATAATCAATGTGATGAAAACTAAATGCAACCTGAAAAGAATTAAGTCATTCTGATCTCACAGCCCCAGTAATGAAGATAACAAAATCACTTTAGAAAACTCACCAACATGTAAGATTGTCACCAACACATACGATTGATTTGAATTCAAAGCTGGATGATTGTTCAAGAAGTATCTTTTTTTATAATGCAAAGTTTAACCCTTAAGCTGGAACATTCCACGTATTT